ATAAAATAAATATATAATTTAAAAAAAAAAAAAAACTTTGAGCTGGGCAGTGGTGACTCATGCCTTTAATCCCAGCACTTGGGAGGCAGAGGCAGGCGGATTTCTGAGTTTGAGGCCAGCCTGGTCTCCAGGACAGCCAGGGCTACACGGAGAAACTCTGTCTCGAAAAAAACAAACAAACAAAAAATCCAAACCAAAACAAAACAAACCAAAACCAAAACAAAACAACAAACCACCAAAACTTTGAAACTGTCTAAAACATTACTACACCTTGGAGTAAACCTAAGGAACTGTCTTCTATAATGGAAACTTTAAAACAAGAGAGAAATCGAAGCGGTGTGTGAGATAACTGAGAGGTTAAAAGCACTGGCTGTTCTTCCTGAGGATCCAAGTTCAATTCCCAGCACGTACGTGGCAGCTCACAGCTGTCTATAACTACAGTTCCTGAACTTCTGACACCCTCAAACAGACATGCACGTTTGCAAAACCCCAATATACATAAAATAAAAATTAAAGAGAGAGGGAGAAACTGAAGAAGACTGAGGATAGAAAGACCTGCCATTCTCCTGGATTGGAAGAATCAATAGTGAGAGAATTTTCTAAAAACCAGCTATGGATTCAGTGCAATCCCAATCAAAATATTAGTACAATTCTTCAGAGACATAGAGAAAAATCTCCAAGATGATTTAGGAGTACAAACCTCGGCTAGCAGAAAGAAGTCTGAACAGAAGCGCCAGGGGGTGGGGGAGGGAGTGGGGATATGAAGTAATGCTTGGAACCACCATATCTGATTCTATGTTACACAACAGAGACATGGCAGTAAAACAGCATAGCAGGGCACAGATCAATGGAACAGAACAGAAAACCCAACAGAAACCTATATAGTCACTGCTGCCTGACTATTGATAAAAATGTGAAAACTATTTCTTGTAGATTTGACACTTCTGTAACAAATGATGCTTCAAAACTGTATGTCCCCATGTAGAGGACTGAAAGGAGGCTCTTACCATGATGTAGAAAAATCAACTCCAAATGGATCAAAGATTATTACCTGGCAGGGTGACCCACCAGGTAATAGTGCTTGCCACTAAGCCTGAGAACTCAGATGGTAGAAGGAGAGAACTGACCCCAAAAAGTTGTTCTCTGGTCTCCAGACATGCACAATGGCATATTCTCTCCCCCCAACCCCTGTCTTTCTCTGTCTGTCTGTCTGTCTCTCTCAGTCTGAAACTGTGAGAACACAAGAGAGAGGAGCAGGAAGTACCATTTTCCAATATGGGCATAGGAAGCAATTTTTGAATAAAATACCAGTCAGGAAGTAAGGACAATTATTGAAAAATGGGACCTCATGAAATTAAAAGTATCTATACAGCAAAAGAAATTGTTAAGTGAAGAGTCATATAGAACGGAAGAAAATCCTTGTCACCTGTGAATCTGGTATAAGGTTAATGTCTAGACAGTGGAGCTGTGTAGTGGTTGCAGCACTGGCTGCTTTTGCTGAGGATCTGGGTTTGGTTCCCAGCTCCCACATGGCAGCTCCCACCTGACTGTAACCCCAGTTCTGTGGGTTCTGATGCCCTCTTCTGACCTCCTCAGACACTAGGCACACAGTTGGTGCAGATAAATGCATGTTGGCAAGACATTCATACCCATAAAAATAAATAAATCTAATTAAAAAATTAAAGAGCTAGGATATGCGAAGTCCTCTTAAAAACTTTTGTTTGTTTGTTTTTGAGACAGGGTTTCTCTGTCCAGTTTCTGACTGTTCTGGAACTCACTCTCTAGACCAGGCTGGTCTCAAACTCAAAAATTTGTCTGACTCTGTCTCCAGAGTGCTGGAATCTGAAGGCATGGGTCAGCATTGCCACGCTCTCAAAAACCAAACCAAACCAAACCAAACCAAACAAAAACAAAAACAAAAAAAACCAAAAGAAACCTGACAGCAAGAAAAGAAAACAATCCAATGACAGATAGGCTGAAGGAGTTCAACAGAGAGTTCTCAAAAGAGCAAACACAAAATGTCAATAAATATTATTTTAAAGTGTCCAACATCTTTGACTATCAGGGATTGACAAAGGAAAATGAAGCCAGATGAAACTACTGTGAGAGTTCATCTCATCCTTACCAGAATGGCTGTCAGCAACAGACAGACAGACAGACAGACACCAAATGGAGGAGAGCCTATCAAAGAAGAGGAACAATTATTTACAGTGTTACTTTTATTTCCTTCCTAACAGAATGCCCGTGTAACAGATTTTGCAACACAGGTAGACACAGAGACCAGGGTTGTGAGACGTCAGGCGCGCCATGGGCTTGAAAGTTAAACCAGTTTTCATTTCACAGTGGAAAGGGGAATGGGACTCCAGTGGGGCCATCTTATTGCCATCGGCGTCCCATTGGCAGAGTGCGGGTGTTTGTCATTTTTATTCTTCAGACCCCACATGCATTAGCATGTTCAATAATCCCCTATGGGCTCTGTTCCATTTCTAGCTTTAGGGTAGTTCTGTATAGTTGTCTAGTGTTTTAAATCCATTTTTGTTTTCTTTTCTTCTTCTTTTTTTTTTTTTTTTCGAGACAGGGTTTCTCTGTGTAGCCCTGGCTGTCTTGGAACTCACTCTGTAGACCAGGCTGGCCTCGAACTCAGAAATCTGCCTGCCTCTGCCCTGGCTCTTCTAGAACTCCCTCTGTAGACCAGATTGACCTCCAACTCAGAGATCTCAGAGATCTACCTGCCTCTGCCTCCCGAATGCTGGGATTAAAGGTGTGTGCTACCACTACCCCAAAGTCCCAGGTTTATTTTCTTTTTAACTTTATTATAAAAAGCATTGGGGGGGGGGCTGGAGAGATGGCTCAGCGGTTAAGAGCACTGACTGCTCTTCCAGAGGTCCTGAGTTCAAATCCCAGCAACCACATGGTGGCTCACAACCATCCGTAATGAGATTGGATGCCCTCTTCTGGTGTGTCTGAAGACAGCTACAGTGTACTCACCAATAAAATAAATAAATAAATATTAAAAAAAAAACAAAAACAAAAACAAAACAAAAAAAAAAAAAAAAAAAAAAAAAAA